CTCTCTCTCTCAAATAAATAAATAAAATCTTTAAAAAAAAAAAATAAAAAATAAAGCACAGAGAAGTTATCTTAACTACTTGTTTAATGAAGACACAAAATCTCAGAAATTAAAATAATTTTACAACTATACCAAGGAAACATTTCTTTATACTCAAAAATAAGTTCATGGTGGTTAAAACATTCAGACTTTAATCACTTGGGGAGGAGGAAGAAAATCCACATACTATAAACCTTTCTGCTCCACACATATATAATGGGATTAGTGGCTGAAGATAAAAAATTAATTCTGACTGTAATGTACTCTGAGAAATGTTTATAAATAGACTATGTCATATATATTAGTGTCAGGTGCTAATAAGCTCAGCGTTTTTTTCTGTCCAAATTAAATAGAAATCCACTAGGAAAAAGTCAGACTTGTAACAAATTTATTTACAAAACATCCACATTTATATATCTATGGTTAGCAACCTGCATTGAACACTTAATTGGCAGCATGTTTTATTAGGGAAGCTACTAAGAAACAAAACCGAGAAAGAAAAAAAAAATCCTTCCTTGCCTTGCTTTCTACAGCTCTAAAACCCAAGAAGAATACCCTAAATATTTGTTTAAGAATATATTATGTGCACAAGAAATGTGTAAGCCATCTGGTCACCATACAATGATAAGCAACTGTAGCACAACACACAGTAGGAACATGAGAGGCAAAGGCTAAGCTAGGCTAGAAAAAGTGAAGGCCTCAGAGGTGGGATTGAGAGAATATTTGGCAAGCAGCTGAACCAAACACAAAACAGCAGCTAAGAATACGTGGCAACTGGAGGTTTTCAATTCCAGTGTGTATGAGGAAGATCTGGAAAAGTACAGATTGCCTAGAACCCACAGTCCATACTTAAACATACTGATACAGGCAATGAGATGACAGAAGAAATAACCTGTCTATTCTTTCCTCTATTTGTAGTCATGTCTGTATGAGACATGTCTCTCATTTGAGTCTCGAGACAACCACTGGAGGGAGGCAGGTCAGTGTTCTTACCCATTTGACAGATGAGGAAACCAGCTCAGAGAGGTCATATAATTTGCTCAAGGTCACACAAAGAAGCCAGAGCTCTTCCTTGCCAGTGCATCTTGGAGATTAAAAAATGAGCTGGACATAATAAGGCAGGATTGAAGCATAAAGTGTAGGAGAGGTACAAGATAAGTTCCATACAGAAAGGGAAAAAAAACATTGACTAGACAGTACTTGAAAAGGAACACAAAACAGGTATAAGAGCTAGAAGCCTCTAATCGTAAGTAAAAGCTGGAAGCCTGTTATCCTGCCAAGGGCAAGAAGATGCTTCCAGTGGCCCAAACTCAAACTGCCGGCTCAGCCTCAGTGTTCCGTTCACTGATAAAGGTCTTTGTGCTCCATGTGGTGGTTCTGCCCCACAGGAACACATTTGTGATTTACCAGGCAGGTAAAGAGCATGCGGGGAAATGATAAGCAATGAGAAGGTCAGAGAAGACAATGAGAGGCCCAGAGGATGGGAAGGTGGAGAGACAGGTGAAGTTGCTTAGATGGAAGAAGGAGAAAAGCTTGGAACCAGGAGTGAGGCAGAGAACACGTTAGTTCCGCAACATGCCCCTGACATTCCTGGCACCCCGCAAGGTGCTTAAAACATTCTATGAGGAAGGCACAGAATTATATAAATTTCAATACAATGTATCAGATGCTATATTCAAATTAGGGGCCAGTTATAGATGACTTAGAGGGAGAGGGGAAAAACGGAATACATGGGAGATAAGGGAGTCAGAGAAAAGGGAAGGAGATTATTCTGGAAATTACTGAGTGCCAGGGATCTATGAACTATATTCAACATCACTTTATCATCAATTTCACTGAACATTTTCCTCACAGATGCTTCCCAGATTACCAACAATCCTTTCAGAAAAATATCAATGACAGAATCCTACTTGCAAATATCTCTAGCTATATAGAGAAAATAGCAGCTAACATTTGTGATCACTTACTGAACTTAACGCTTACAACAACCCTTTGAGGCATATTATTATCCCCATTTTACAGATGAGGAAACCCTGAGATCAAGGTGTACAGGCAGTGTTTGAACCCAGACACTCCGGGTCAAAAGCCTGCACTTGGCTGAGTATGTGAGATCATAGCAAGGCATGAAAGCTGGCTACTATATGGTGAGGGAGACCAAGGCTGGGTATGGCTGGTCTGGACTGGAGATCCATCAGGAGTAGCAGGACTAAGAAGGAAAAGTCAGGATGTTTTAATTTAGAGATAGGGCAAAACTTTTTTTTTTTTTTTTTAATCACTGGGACTTTCATCTTTGGGTCTCTCAATTATAGTCTGTTATTTAAATTAATCCACCCAAATAGGGAATCACAAGTTAGGTTCATTTGGTCTAGCAGATTATTTCCATGGGTATCAACACACTTGAACCTAGGGGAGCCTGGGTGGCTCAGTTGGTTAAGTGTCCAACTCTTGATTTTGCCTCAGGTCAGGGTTGTGAGATCAAGCCCCGTGCCAGGCTCCCGGTGTCAGGCTCCATGCTAGTGCCTGCTAAAGCTTGCTTAAGATTCCCCCTCTCCCTTCTCCCCCTCCCCCAACAACTCTCTCTCTCTCCCTCTTAAAAAAAAAAGGGGGTGCCTGGGTGGCTCAGTCGTTAAGCGGCTGCCTTCAGCTCAGGTCATAATCCCAGGGTCCTGGGATCGAGCCCTGCATCGGGCTCTCTGTTCAGCAGGGAGCCTGCTTCTCCCTCTCCCTCTGCCTGCTGCTTCCCCTGCTTGTGCTCTCTCACTCTCTGTCAAATAAATAAATAAAATCTTTAAAAAAAAAGAAAAAAGGAAGCACCAGGCCTAGCCCTAGAGTCAGAAGAGCTAGGCTTGATCCTCAGGGAGTCACTTAGCTGCATGACCTTGAACAAATCATACAACCTCTGTAAACTAGTCCTCCTCTCAAATTGGAGCAATAGTGTCTATAGGATAGTTTTAAAAAGAAAACCTTGCATTTTTAAGAATACTTCATAATTTTCAGAGTCTTTTCACATATGCTATCATAGTTAAAGAAAAGTAAGGTGCTATCACTTTCAATAAGAAGTATCAGTCACATAGAATTTCTTTATAAAAACAATCCTATAATGAACAGAAAAGCACCAAACTCGCTATTACTTCCCTTCTCAGAACTCAGAACTAACTCCCAGTCGTGGCACATCAAATTAAGACTTCCCTTTGACTCTGCTTCAAAGTGAGTGAGTGAGAGGACAGGGAGCGGAGTGACACTGCCTAGAACCAGCAAATACTAATTAGCATCACATCAGTTTGCTTCCTTCCTTCCTCCCCAGGGTAAGGCTCTCTCTCTTAGGTTGTTGCTATTACTTCAGGGAATCAAATCTCTAGATAATTCTGAATGTGACTTCTTAATTGCCACCAATACTTACTCTGGCTAATGAGTCTGACCCGGCTTTGCTCTGAAACCACTGAGACATTATTCAGAAGTTAACAGTAACAAGAAGGAAAAAAAAATGTAAGAGAACAGAGAAATGGATGGATGTCAGAAGGTTTAGGGAGATCTAGGGACCAAGTAGCCAAGTAGGAATGTAAACTATAATTCAGCGGGAATACAAATTCATTAAATGAACTGCTCCACAGAGTATAAGAATCAAAAGATTAAGTTTGGCTGTCTCCATGGCCCCAAAGAGGAAATAAATTAGATAATTATACAGAAAGATGGTTTTGTTTTGTTAGGCTTGGAGCACCAGATCATTGTCTCAGTCAACTGCTAAGATGTAGCTCACTGGGGACCCCTGGTTCCATGTCTTTCCTCTAAGCCAGTGGCTTTCAGCCTTTTCTCTATCTTCAAATCATTTACAATAATAATCCCCTCCTCTCTGTAACATCTCTCATTATAAGCAGAGATTGGGGAGGAGAATGTGAATTCCCATTCTGATATACAGCCAACACTCCCACTCCCAGAATCACTGATTTTAATAATTTGAAAATCTATCAGAAATCTACCCTATAATAAAAGCATACTGTCTTTTAAAAACCTCACTGCCTGAAAAACCTGCATGTTTTATGAACTGTTTAATTATAATGGAGCTAAAAAAAACTGGGGCTGGTTTTAAAGCCACGCATCTGACATATGGAACACAAAGAACAGTAATCAGATTAAGGAACTAATCAGGATGATGGACATGAGCTGTAACAGCAAGCATTCCCTCTAGGTCACATTGCTGTGTGGAAAGGAAACCATTTTGCATTTCTCCCTTTTATATCTTACAACTTATAACCACTTTTTCAATCATGATTTAAAGAACACTTGGAAAAAAGACAATGCCTCTCTATGAATTTCTTGCTCTTACTGTATT